TCTATAAAGATTAAAATAAGAAGAATAAGACATTTCAAGGGTTTTTCATTTTGGGTATGTTAAAAGAAATCTCAAATAATAATAGTTATAACAATGAAATTAAGTGAACTAGTTAAAAGTGCTATTGATAATGAAGAAGTTAATCCAAACCTTCATCTATTTAATCAAATCCTTCATGCTCTTAAATGTATACCAAAGGCAATTCCTTCATTAGTTTGCCAATTTAATCTTCGTTGTCTTGAGTTCTTAAATAACTACATATCAAGGAAAGAAATGTATTTTATGCTATGTCTTATAGACTATATGATATCAAATTATGAACCTTTTAGAAAGGGATTTGCTACAAAAGAAACATTTGAAAATTTCAGACAAGTAGCACAATATAATGTTTGTTATTCTTAATTTCTATTCTATTTTCTTGAAATTTAAAACTTACAAAAATAGAATTTTAGTATTTTCTCTAAAAAGAATTCATTTCTTTCAGAAAAATGCAAAGAATTTGCATATCAATGGAGACTCTATCCAGAAATGGAATTATTTGCTCATTGGAGTAAAGACCATCTTCCAATAAATCCAGAAGTTAAACTCAATAATGGATCATTAGAAAGTACTGCAAGAACAGTAGAAGAATATATCTTGTTAATGGGTGATATGCTTGAAGAATATAAAAATAAAAAGAAAAAACCAAAGGGTTATGATTTATTAATAAAAAATGCCAGAGAATTATACACTGAATTTACAGAAAGTTTAGATGAAAGTATTTTTAATGGAGAAGTTAATGAAAAAGAAAAGACCGAGTTTAATGAATTAGAAGAAGATTTTAGAACTATCCTTTCTATTATGGAATCTAAAATAGAACCTAATTCTTTCAATGAAAAAGAATACAAAAAATCAAAATCAGCACTTCCTTACACTTCATCAAAAATTTTCTTAAGAGAAGAAACACCAAAGATTATTTCTAAAATTGTATTGAAAAGAAGTGAGTCACAAAGTGATTATTCTAAAACAGAAACAAATTATGAGTCATATCCTGCTCAAAGAGAATCCTCGAGTAGAATTTCTCCATCAATTTTTAGACCACTTGCAGATTATGGTATATTGAATCCTGTTTCTCGTAAAGGTGATCCTATGACCTATCAAATGTTGGAAGATGATTAAATAATTAAATAGTTAATGAAATTGTTTTTAAAAACAAGAATTAAAAAAGAAAATTTGAAAATAAATCTTAAAAATAAATAAATATTTAAAATTCAAACTGGATGAATAAACCAGAACTTCGCATTAACGTTGTTATTGTTGGTGCTTCTACAGTCGGTAAAACAAGTCTTGCAAATCAGTTGGTTAATAGTTGTTTTGATGAACATTATGAAACAACACATGGAATGGATATCTTTTCATATAAAATGGAACTTGATAACTGTGTTGTTAGTTTGACTTTAAGAGATACCTGTGGACAAGAGCAATACCGTTCCTTAGCCGCTCAATACTATAGAGAAACTCATGGTGCGTTGGTGGTATATGATATATCAAACAGAGATTCATTTGAGTATCTTCAAGACTGGGTAAATGATGTATCAAATTATTGTCCTCAAGGAGTAAAAATTGTTGTAGTTGGAAATAAAGTTGATTTGGCTGATGAAGACC